ATCACTTGTCGGTAATGGCTCACATGCATGTACGGATCCGTCTTGCCGTCGTACAAAGTGAACTTTGGCTGGTGGAATCTGGCGGGGAGCGGTGTACTCTTAATCTTTGGAGACAGCGGCGTGGCTGTAAGTCGCGCCAGCTCTTTGTCCACCCGCGCAGGGGCCATCACTTTGGGGGCTGGCATCGCCACTTCCTCACTACAACGAATTGGAGCGCTTAACCTCTGCAATGCCGGCACTCTCCGAGCCTCCCGACGGCGCGCCCTCTCCTCCAATACATCCCTCAAGTCCCTGGAACGTGTGGAGAAAGAGGATCCCGACGTCGGCGTCGGGCGTGAGGGGTGGTAGGTGCTGTCGCGAGAGAGGGTCCTACCCTCTCTTTGGTCGGAATCCCCAACCCCATAGTTCCTGGTGATAGAGAGAGAGTGAGTTCTCCCCTAGCAGCGACTGCTACTACGAGGGGACGGGGTGCGCTCACTGAGGTTGCCCTCTCCAGTAACACCCTTCCCTTTAATCTGGCGTTTCAGTAGCTCCATCTCCGCCGCCATCTTGCGAATGAAGGTGTAACACCCCTGTTCCGTAATATGCTAATTGGTTCCTAATACGTATGTGACTATATGTTTTGATATGATTTTTGTGTGCCATTATGTGAATATATGCGACTTTGGAATTCTACCTGTTCACCGTAGGAATATCTGTTTGAATAATCCGCTTTGGAATTAAATTGAGGGCCTTATCGGCCACAGAACCCGAAATTGATTACGCCATTGTGATTGGCATAATTTTTAGAGCCTACGGTGAAATTTAATTGAAAATTGATTCTGGTCAATTTAAACTGATTAAATTGATAAATTAAGTGCCCCATTATTTTATATTAAAATATTTGTTAGTGGGGCTTGTTGTATATTTGCATTGCACTCTCCTTTAGCTCTCTCAAAAACTCAAAATCTGAGTTAGACACTTGAGAGTGAGAGAGAGGCCAGCTATAGAGAGAGAAAGGAAGAGACTTGAGCAATTTTTGGCTCTAGCTTGGGGATTTGAAGATTTAACTCAAGAATTAACTAGAGCTTGGGTGTTTGAAGCTCTTAGGTGAGTGAATTTGTGAATATTAGTTGTGATTTTGTGAATTTGATTGAGCATGATGTAATTGAATTGGTTTTGTTAAATTGAGAGCCAATATGTGCATGCATGTAAGAAATTACTGTGAAATTGCATGTTTGAGCACAAATGTGTGTAGTCCATGTGAAATGTTAAAGGAAACTCATGTTTTGATCACCATTTGGGTTATCCAAGTTGAGAATGTGGCTAATTCATCACATGCATGTACAATTTGAGAAGATATGAGCTTGAATGCATGAATTTGTTATGTTAATGATTGAGTTTGACACATTTTGGGACATGCATGTAGATAAATCATGAAATTGAGCTTCCTGATGTTGTAATTCTAATGTTTGGTAGCAATGTTAATACAGCCATGATTATGTGAAGTTTGGGCCGAAATCGTGCATTTAGAGCCTTTGAATGTCGAGAATGAAGCTCAAGAACTCAATCTGGAAAACCCAGATTTTATTATTTTTCGCTCTCGAGCGGGTTGAGTGACGCTTCGAGCGAAGAAATCGAGCTCCCAGCATTTTCCGCAGACATGGTTCCCGCTCGAGCGGGGAAGTTGACGCTCGAGCGGGAGCTATGTAGACAGCAGTAGACGCTCGAGCGGGTAGTCGAGTGTCGTTCATGCTCGAGCTGGAATTGAGGCAACCATACTTTTGCAGACCTAAGGGTCTGCTCGAGCGGGAAGGTCACGCTCAGAGGGGACCTATTATGACAGATCTGTTTTGCATTTTGTGTTCTGTTTTCCGTTCTCTTTTACTTGCAAGCACTCTTAGGCATATGTTAAGCATTGTAAAATGAGTTAATTGAGATAATAATAAAGCCTAAAGAGGAATATGTGAATTACAGAACGGATTGAACTGTTAATGACCCTTTTGTGTTCATGAAACGTGTAGGGTCAAGCTCCAGGGCAAATCCGCAAGCCGATCACTGTGAGTAATATCGATATTTGAATGCTTGTAAATGTCCAATTGTTTACTCTCTTGAAGCTTTATGAATTGCTAAACTGGGATTGTGGGATTGTGGCGTAAGTCTGATATGAACGCATAAATGGACCCAAGGTCGTTTCGATAAGCATAAATGGCCAAAGGCCGTTTTGAAATGAATGAGTGGGCCAAAGGCCGTTTTGAAATGAATGAGTGGGCCAAAGGCCGCTTTGAAATGAATGAGTGGACCGAAGGTCGATTGACATATATGAATGGACCTAAGGTCGTTTTGACGTGAACGAATGGACCGAAGGTCGTTTCGATATGAATAAATGGACCGAAGGTCGTTTTGATAAAGAATAAATGGACCTAAAGGTCGTTTTGACATGATGAGTGGGCCGAAGGCCGTTTGCACGAATGTATGGCGAAGGCCGTTTGACGTAAACGAATGGGCCGAAGGCCATTTGACATAAATGAACGGGCCGAAGGCCGTTTTGACATAAATGAATGGGCCGAAGGCCGTTTTGACATGAATAGAAATTTAAATGGCCAAGGGCCAGAATGTTTAGAACTACAGTCACTTGGTTTGAATTTCGTATAGTTATATATCTGTTAAATGGAAAACATGAAATTGGGCCTAAGGCCGTTTGGAACATGTTGATTACAATCGTTATGTAACTTCTGTATTTGATTTGATATTATTCACTGGGCTTTTGCTCACGCTCATTCATGTGTTTGTAGGTGAGCCAAGAGAAGTCCAGACCCAGCCTCAGAGAAGTCTGTATGGAACCACTAAGGTTTTGAGAGAGTCAGCCCTTGTGTCTCACGCACGAGACCCGTCTTCGCCCTTTTGTTATGTATTTACATTTTGTCAGGTTGGCGAAGTTTTGTATATGTCTGCTTATAGTTTTTATGGGTTGACTTAGTTTTGGATGATCCTGTCTGTACAGAACCTATATCACTATGTTTCTGTTGTGAGTTATTAACGTACATATGTATGGTTTGTTTTGATGTGCCATGTAAGCACAGCTCTATGGACAAAGTTTTAAATTGCTTCCGTTTGGCCCCCATTAACTCTGTTAAAATACGCTTGGTTTGGTTTGAGGCCGTAGGTAATCTTAGGATTACTGGCCGGTTACGTCCTTAACCCATGGGGGCGGGTTCAGGTCGTGACAGAAGGCGTCTTGGTCCTTGAGTTTGTGCTCCAGACACTGCGCATGGGACTCCCCCCCGCGTCAGCGGCTTTTCGGACTCTGCGAGCGATCAATACTCCTCCCGCGTTTGTCTCGCGCATCTCGCGAAGGAGTCTCTAGGCCCGCCATGGCTGGAATATTCGGAGGACCTTCTCTCAAGCGGATGTACTCAGGTGTGATACCATCGACGACGGACAGTAGGGCTTCGCCGTTGTTGGCCGTGGAAGTGGTTGAAGAAGCTCAAAGAGCAAGGGTTGAGTATCAAAGAGTTCCTACAGACGGCGCCAATTGTACAGGGGCGAAATGTCCTCTGCTTTCCGTACTCCTTGTACTCCAAGCTTCTCTTGACGGCGTCTACCTGGCAACACAGAAACGGTGAGCTGCCCGGCGGTGGTGTGCCGAATAGACCCTCCGACGATCAAGTCAGTCTACTTGAGGAAGAAAAAGACTGATAGAGAGAGTATTCTCTTTGGGGAAGAAGTTGCATACCTCTAACGTTCGTCCTCCTCCATATTTCAAGGCTGGCCATGCAGCCTCAAGATTATGCGCGCACTACCTCTGCTGTCCTTCCCAGGACAGGTGGCAGTGCTCGCCTCTCACCACCTTACGCGTGTAAAGGCTTAGTCCTCCCACCAGTACACGCAGAACTGTCCAACGGTATTGGCGCATGCTTGGAGTAGATTTCCTCTATCCCTCACGCCATTGGTCCAGGTGGCACACTCGACCAGAATACCACGACCGGTCTATCACTTGTAGAGAGTTGCCATCACATGCACACAACCGAGCTATGCACCGCCGGACTACCCCTTGCGAAGGGGCCAAAGGGCGATACTCATGGCCGAGCTGATACTGGCCGGTTCATTAGGCTAACCGGTTATGAGGTATGCCGGCCTCCGCTCGTCCTACCTCTATACTCGGCCACACGAAGACCACTTACCTCGGCTGGTCGGTCAGAAGCGTGCCGGCCCTAACCGCACCCACGGTCTAGCCCGAGTTGCTCTTAGCTTGGTCATCAGACACTGCTACGCGCTCGGCCGCGTTATAGCTCGGCCAGGCATTGGTTCGTGTCTGGCCGGTCTTCAGCTCATCGGCTTGCGGTTCGTCATGATCGGCATTATCGTAGCTCGGCCGTACTAACGCGCAAATCTCCCCTCTCAACATCAAACTAAATAATTTATATGATGTAAGAGATATAAGAATTAAAGAGCCGATGTGCCGCTAAGGTAGTCTTTACAATTTCGAAGTGAAAAGAAAAATGTAAGATTTTATATTGTGTTACTTGTATTTATAATATATATTCAATATAATTTAACAATATATATTATTTTAACATCATGTAATGACTAATAATTTATATGTTATATATTTATATTTATATAATTCAAATTGTTTGATATCTTTACCAAAATCTGTTTAAATTTAATTTGTGTTTTTAAAATTTTGTCCAACTCTACACCAAATTTAAAAATATTTTGCCGAGGTTATAAAAAAACATTCAAGCTAAGCTTGGGTCATTTGGGTTGGGCATGTCCAAGTTGCACCTATTAATTTGTGAAAATTTACAATTTTATTCAACTTTTTTATTTGTACACCAAAATTAAAAGAAAACAGTCCCGTTCCGTGTGGGCCAATTTTGCATTCGTATATTTGCAGCGGCATGGAAAAGTTGAACAGTGCAGAGGCTATAGACCAAACCACAATTTGCTCATGAACATGAGTGATATATCAACACTGAAAAAAAAAAAAAAAAAAATCAAATACGTAAATAGGAACATGAAGATCTAAAATATATAAAATATAACCATCGTTGTACCAATTTCTATGATCACTGTAAACTAAACAAAACAACTAATTAAGAATCTGGATCTTTAAAACAAAAAGGAAAGCAATGAAGTTTCTCTACCCCAAAATAACTATAATAAATCATACAGAATGAGCAAACCTATGACTGACTAATAAGAATATGAGGTGATTTCCATATCAGAAGCCCAAAGATTGAGATTGTCCCTCATTAGTTGCAAGATGAAGAGACAAGTTTCCTTGTATGACTCGTTTCCCAAACTGTCCAGCTTAGCCATGGCTTCCTCATAGGCCTCCCTCGCTATGCTACATGCTTTCTCTGATGCACCTTCAATCTCGTAGAAGAAAACCGAGAAATTGAGTGCCAGACCCAGCCTCGTGGGAAGGGTTGGAGCGAGTTCAGAAACCGCAATTGCTTCCGCAGCCTTGTATGCCATGATGGTGTTCTCAACGGCCTCTGTTTTCTCTGTTCCGACTTTGAATTCCGTCATGTATCGATAGTAATCCCCCTTCATCTTCAAGTATAAGACTTTGGACTCGCTCTTCGATGCCGAGGGTATCAGATGCTTTTCCAGCAGATTCAAAACCCTATTGCAGATATGAGAGAGTTCTGATTCGATCTTGGATTTGTAGTCGGTGACGAGTGCGACGTGGTTGTTGTGGTTCTGTTCAGTTGAAGAGAGGGCCTGCCAGGCGGCACGGAGTGAGTCAATTACTTTCTTGGTGGCGGTGGAGAGGAGGTTACGCTCCTCGATTATGAGTTCACTGCCGGAGGAGGAGGAGGTAGAAACGATGATGAGCTTTTCCATGAAGTTGACGGTATCTTTGTACCGGTTGGCTTCCTGGGCAAGTTTGGCCATATAGAAGCACTCGTATCTGCTCATGTTTTCTGGTACAGCCATTGCCATTAAAATCTCCAAGGATTTAAGAGCTATAGAATGAGTTAAAAAGAAAGAAAAGATAATAGAATAGGAGAGAAGAGATTAAAAACTGGAAGAATTCAAGAGCTATAGAGTGAGTTAAAAGAAAAGGAAAGGGCGTTTATTTATAGAGGGAGGTTTTCTGATTTTGGAAACTAAAGTTGGAACTAGATTTGGAAAGTAAAAAAAGTCTTTGGTCAGACTCTCAAGTCCTAAGGCTACGCCATATGGTCCACCTCTTACTTTTACTATATATATATATATTAATACTTTTTTTTCAACCCATTATACAGGAACTCTTATTCCCTGTTTTTTGAATAGAAAAAATGGAAATTTATTAATTAGTCTTATTAATTATAATTATTTATTCATAGGTTTTAATTAATAAATTTATCATCGTAAATTTATTTATTAAAAAAATAAAAACTGATAAATTTATCAATGAGACTTAATAAGTAATAAGTCTCAAAAGTAAGATTTGTTAGTAATTTATCCTTAAAAAAAAATGCACTTTGGAGGCATCATTGCAACTCTATAAAACGGTTTACGGTCTATGAAAATTATTATTCAATTCTATTTGGCTTAAAAATCTTAAATATTTGTGTGTATATGTTGTTGTTATTAAATCTCTATTTAAATATTTTTTTCCAAATTTTAAAATAAAAATTATAATTAATTTAATTATTTGCGTCTCTTTAACCTATTCAAGGTTAGTAGTTCAAATTTTATAATTAATTTATTTAGATAACTAGTAATGCATAATTTATCATTACAAAAAAAATGGACAAATTACACATGCAGTCCCTATAGTTTATTTCTTGTGTCATTTTGTTTCTTATATTTTTAAATTGCTCAATTTGAACTCTAAATTTTAAATTTAGTCTCATTTTAATCCAATTAATAACTTGTGCTATATTTTTTGATGAAGAAATTGTACGGGAGTGGCACATGACTTGTTTTTAGGGATAAAATATAGTAATTTTCTTAATTTTACCTATTTCTTTTATAGCCAAATTAATAAACTTTCCCTAAGAGCATCTCCAGCCATGCTCTCTAAAATGCTTCCTCAAAGTATACAGAAAACTACCTTCTTTATTTTACCTAACTAGTTTAGCTAGTGTACACTCCAACCATACTCTTTATTTTAGCTAATCAATCAAACTAACTTAATTAATTTTTAAAAGAAAACTATTATAAACATTAATAAATAAATAAATAATCTTTTTATGACATGCTGCATATATTGATGTGGCATTTGTAAATATTTATTTATTTCAAATATATAATTAAATTATTTATTAAAAAAAATATTTTCAAGCAATCATATTATCTCAACGGTTATATTTTCAAATGGTAATATTCTCTCAACGGTATTATTCTCTAACGGTAATATTCTCTAACGGACATAATCCTAACGGTCATATATTTTTGTTTATAAAAAGGATTTGCTCTTTCATTTTTACCAATTTGAACTATATTTCTTAACTTCATTCATTTTTTATTTACAATAGCTGCTTCAGAAGAAGAGCGACTAAATAATAAGAGACAGTTAGAATTACATCATGGTTCCATTCAAGGTCATGCAATTATTTATCGTAATCGAATTCAAGGCCACAAGAGACTTTATCAAGACTACTTCTCTGAAACTCCTACATATCCTCCCAATTTATTCAGAAGGAGGTTCCGAATGAGTCGATGTCTCTTTCTTCTTATTTTATCTACGGTGAAAGCATATGATCCTTATTTTGTCCAGAAAAAAGATGTTGTTGGAGTTCTTGGTCTGTCTTCCTTTCAAAAGATGACTGCTGCTATGAGGATGCTCGCTTATGGAGTAGCAGCAGATTCGGTGGATGATTATGTGAGAATTGGTGAAAGCACCGCCATAGAGAGTCTAAAACACTTTGTTAAGGCGGTGGTTGCAATGTTTTCTGAGAGGTACTTGAGGAGCCCTAACAACGATGATATTTCAAGATTATTAGCGATGTGATGGAATCACAGGTTTCCTGGTATGTTAAGGAGCATTGATTGTATGCATTGGAAGTGAAAAAATTGTCCTACTGCACAGAAAGATATGTATTCTGGTCACATCCATGAACCAACTATTATTTTAAAGGCTGTGGCTTCTCAGGATTTATGGATATGGCATGCCTTTTTTGGGATGTCCGGATCTCATAACGACATCAATGTATTAGATTGTTGTTCTGTATTTTCACTCCTTACTCGAGGTCGTGCTCCTCCAGTCAATTACTCAATCAATGGAAATGATTATACAATAGGATACTATCTCGCCGATGGTATATATCCACAACGGACAACATTTGTCAAAACAATCTCATCTCCACAAGGGAATAAGCAAATATATTTTGCAAAAGCTCAAGAATCGGCAATGAAAGATGTTGAGTGAGCATTTGGTGTGCTCCAAGCACGTTTCGCGATTGTGCGAGGACCTGCACGTTTTTGGAAAACGGAAATAATGGAAGATATTATGATGGCATGCATAATAATGCATAACATGATTGTTGAAGATGAGAGGGATGACAATGGATTAGACTTTAACTATGATACAATTAGTGAAAGTCTTCCACCAGTATCTCATGAGCATACACCAGAACTTTTTGAATTCATTCAAAATCATCATCGCATCAGAGATAGAGGAACTCACTCCAAACTCAAACAGGACTTAGTCGAACACTTGTGGACACTACATTGGAGACTCCTTGTGAGAAGTACTAGTTGGTTCTTATTGATTTTTGTGCTAGTTTATATGCTTTAGTGAGTGTGTTTTCAAAAGTATTTGTACTACTTTATGTGCTTTCAATAATATATCACTAGTGATATGTTTTTAATCTATGATCTTTAGTGATATTTAGAATAAATATTTTTTTGTCAATAAATCCCTAACTTATTTTTGGAATACAGTCAAACTTATTATTGGCCATAAAAAAACAAAAGAATAAGTGAATGAAAGATCCTATTAAGTTGAATATGGAGAATACTTAATCTTTTTTTACATCTCTCATGAATTTTGAAATCCAGGACTTGAATGGACATCCAAAATATAAAGAGCAAAAATTGAAGTAACCATAATTACCTGTATAAATTTTCTATAGAAACAGTTGTTAATTTTATTTTCCTACCACAAATTGGCCTCACCCTCAACAAACACAACAAGTCTAAACTAACTTAGAAGAGCACATGCTTTACATTTAAAGAATACCCAGTCCACAACTCTAGCACAAGATACAACACATCATGCAAAATTAATACAGAGACTATGCAAAACAATAAAATAATTTGCAACAAGCCATGAAAAGTGAAATTCAATCATAACCCAAATTTACATTAACACAGTTAAAAGAAAACTGAACTCTTAGACACTAAGAAATACAAATCAATGATTTTTAGGCACAAAAAAACATATGTTTTGTATGTCTACAAGTACCTGAGTCTTTACATCCTTCAACAACCTCTTCCTTCACAACAACTACAGAATCTTTAGAATTCAAACCCAAGAAGTTTCTCTCCATTTTAGAATTCAACCAGCAAAATTTGAAACAAACCCAACTCTATTAAAGATGCAAAACTCTCAGCAAATGCAACCCCAGCTGATACAAGATGTGCCAGCAAACCCAAAAATAAAAAACAATCAAACTTAAATTAAATAAAAACATAGTTTCAAAGCTAAATAGAAACAATTAATTCCTTTTTTCAAGGATTTGCATTTAACGTTGGTGAATATATTGTGCTTGAAATGGAGGTATCATACTTGTATCCATTGACATGATTCTCTCTTCCTCTCTCCCTTCCTCCAATGCAAGCCTTCGTTCCTCTCTCCTTTCCTCATTTTCAATCCTCCATTCCTTTTGAAGATAAGATTTCTCAAATATCTCTATTTTCTTCTCATTTGTTATGTCGTTCTTTACCTTTATCTCTTCTAAGAGCTTCACAAAAGGCGACTCTATAACATTATTTCCAAGATCTTTGGCTTTGTTTTTCTTTGCGGCCTTCCTTCCTGCTAGTCTTTCCACAACATCATAGTTATCATTGTCCTCTAAATTTACTGAATTTGGTGTACAAGGGGTAGACGTTGTCGGAGATGCATTTTTTGTGCTTTTTTGCTTCTTCATTGTTGTATCTTCCATCTATTTTGGTTGGGATCTCAATTCATTTCAATAATGCTCAAAGGGAAAGTTCGATTGATACAAGTTTTTGTACAATTTTTTCGCATCCCGAATCTGAAAAATAGATTAAAGAATAGTCACTATCACGTAATGAATAATATATACTATTATAGGTACAAAATTAAATTCTAGCAATACCTTGTTTTTTTCAGTTGAACCACTTTGATTCAACCGTTCAACTTGAGCAAAACATCCACAAAATTTATTTGTGGCAAGTTGAATAAATTTAAAGAATACCCAGTCCACAACTCTAGCACAAGATACAACACATCATGCAAAATTAATACAGAGACTATGCAAAACAATAAAATAATTTGCAACAAGCCATGAAAAGTGAAATTCAATCATAACCCAAATTTACATTAACACAGTTAAAAGAAAACTGAACTCTTAGACACTAAGAAATACAAATCAATGATTTTTAGGCACAAAAAAACATATGTTTTGTATGTCTACAAGTACCTAAGTCTTTACATCCTTCAACAGCCTCTTCCTTCACAACAACTACAGAATCTTTAGAATTCAAACCCAAGAAGTTTCTCTCCATTTTAGAATTCAACCAGCAAAATTTGAAACAAACCCAACTCTGTTAAAGATGCAAAACTCTCAGCAAATGCAACCCCAGTTGATACAAGATGTGCCAGCAAACCCAAAAATAAAATACAATCAAACTTAAATTAAATAAAAACATAGTTTCAAAGCTAAATAGAAACAATTAATTCCTTTTTTCAAGGATTTGCATCTAACGTTGGCGAATATATTGTGCTTGAAATGGAGGTATCATACTTGTATCCATTGACATGATTTTCTCTTCCTCTCTCCCTTCCTCCAATGCAAGCCTTCGTTCCTCTCTCCTTTCCTCATTTTCAATCCTCCATTCCTTTTGAAGATAAGATTTCTCAAATATCTCTATTTTCTTCTCATTTGTTATGTCGTTCTTTACCTTTATCTCTTCTAAGAGCTTCACAAAAGGTGACTCTATAACATTATTTCCAAGATCTTTGGCTTTGTTTTTCTTTGCGGCCTTCCTTCCTGCTGGTCTTTCCACAACATCATAGTTATCATTGTCCTCTAAATTTACTGAATTTGGTGTACAAGGGGTAGACGTTGTCGGAGATGAATTTTTTGTGCTTTTTTGCTTCTTCATTGTTGTATCTTCCATCTATTTTGGTTGGGATCTCAATTCATTTCAACAATGCTCAAAGGGAAAGTTCGATTGATACAAGTTTTTGTACAATTTTTTCGCATCCCGAATCTGAAAAATAGATTAAAGAATAGTCACTATCACGTAATGAATAATATATACTATTATAGGTACAAAATTAAATTCTAGCAATACCTTGATTTTTTCAGTTGAACCACTTTGATTCAACCGTTCAACTTGAGCAAAACATCCACAAAATTTATTTGTGGCAAGTTGAATCATCAACCACCGATTCATTAGAGAAGTTTTAGTTCTTTCAGAATCGAAGGTTTTGTACTTGTTGAAGTTCTCCTACACTCTTAACCAATATGCCTTTGACTTTTGCTCATTTCCTCTAATTAGATCTAAGCTAATATTAAGCCATGAAGATATGAGCATCATGTCTTCCTCTATGGTGAAGTTTCCTTTGCGTTGTGATATCTTTGTGGTTTGAGTAATAATTTATGGAGAGAATGATAAAGATTGACTCTTTTGTTGAGGAGATTCAGTGGTAAAATCATGGTCAAGGTCAAACTCATCATTCATTAGGTTGCTAAAATATGCATTTCCTTGATATTCCATCTAAAGCACAATTATTCATACCACAAAATGTGTATTATGTCAAAATCTCAATTATTCATACCACAAAATGTGTATTATGTCAAAATCTCAATTATTCATACCACAAAATGTGTATTATGTCAAAATCTCAATTATTCATACCACAAAATGTGTATTATGTCAAAATCTCAATTATTCATACCACAAAATGTGTATTATGTCAAAATCTCAATTATTCATACCACAAAATGTGTATTATGTCAAAATGTCAGGATCTCAGGGAACATAATGCAAAAGAGAACAATGTAAATAAAAAAGCAAGTACAAGGGATATGGCCATTTAGAAACCTATATGTTTTGGAAATGATAGATCGTGTTATTGGATAAAAAGGCAAAGATCTACATAGGTTGGTATGAGTTAATGTAAGGCAAATTAAAAGTCTAGAAGTGGAACCACTACTTCTGTCATTCAATCAGTTCCCTAAATGCTTCTTTTAGCCCATGGTAAAATACAAACATTACCCACAACTTATATGTCATAAAATCCATAAAATAGCCCCAACCCACCAACTTCCAAAAGCAAATGACCTACACAAAATAATTACCAACTACAATTATTTTTAGAATTGGTTATCATCATATATCCACGGTCAATGGTTAAGCATTTAAACTAAAAAACAAGATGCCAAATTTCAAAGGAATGAACTTGTCAATATTTTTCAATAAAACAATAGGGCACCAACAATCTGTTTTCACTCCCAAAATAGCAACACCCACCATATTCATCTATCACTACATGTCTACAACTAACCACAAGATCTTCTTGACTTTTCCAAAATGATAGCACTGTACTCGATAGTTTTTCATTTTTTCCAGCTATCATGGAGTTTCCATATTAATGACAACACTGGAATTGACAAGAAATGGGAAAATTGTCTAGAAGCTTTAATGGCATTGAACTTTTTTGGTTCTAAATAAAAAATTAACACCCAAGTCCTATGTTATGCTTGATATGATATATGAAATACATTAACACCCAAGTCCTTGTAACCGATGCCGAGA